AGGCGATCTTGAGCATTTTCAGAGTTTTTCACTTTTGCGAAATCAGAAAATTCATTTCCTCTCGCGATTCTTACGTGCAAGCGATTTCAGGCGACATTTCCAGTTTCTGGCGATATCTCATCGTGTGTTGATCTTTTTTGACCGTAGGTCCCCCCAATTTGTTGAGTTCCAGTAAGTATTTTCCAAGTTTTTTCACATTTTGTATTTTGCAATGGCTTCGGGAAGGGATTTAGAGGTGGTGAGGGTGGATGAGCCTATTTTAGCGATGCCCAGTGAGATCTTCGAGGCGATATTGGGTGGGGAAAATATTTGGAGAAAGCCTGATAGCCAGTAAATACATCAGAACATTGGGCGGACTTCGAGTTACCAGTCAAAATTGAAGGAAGCCAATCTGGATAGACTTAGGGCTAAATATAGAATACCTAATAGTGTAGAACTGATATTACCGGAGCCTGATGAGAGGACCTGCTATCCTAGGCTAGGGTGTGTGGCCATGAGTGAGGCACTTTTTAGGGCTAGACTTAGGCTCCCCCTTCTTTAGGCTAGTGCTAAGGTCGCACGGGTTAGCTCCAACCCAGCTGAACTCAAACTCCTGGAGCCAAATGGTGGGGTTCTAGATGTTATGGAAGGAGGCGTCGCTGGGGGTGGAGATGCCCTTCTCAATTTTTTAGACCCTATACATCCCTAAAGTAGCGGCTGGGGAGACAAGACTAGGGGTGGCATTATATGACCTCATAGGGTTTCCATACTCCATTCGTGCTCAATTTGTCGAGCACTATTAAAGAATGAAGGGGCTCGTGATGCTAGACTGTCGGGAGATGGGACATGATAGAGGGGGACCCCCTAGCACCTCTTACGGTCCCCACGAAGTATTCCACACTTAGTGAGTACTGTTGCCCTGCAATTTTGTTTATTTTTCTTCAGTTCGGATCCTAACTGTCCTTTTTTTTTGAAGGTTCCCTTCCACGGTGTGAGTTATCGACAGACGACTTCAACATAATTTACATCGTCTACCAGCTGCCCCCAAAGAAGATGTCGTATCACGAACTGATCAAGAAGAACATTCATTTCGTAACACACGACCTGATGGCTTCCCAAAGTAGAGATACGAAGTGGAAATGTCGCGTTGGTTCTCCGACCTCTTCACACTTGTACTAATTTGTCTGTTCCCTTGTAGATAACTTCAACAAAAAGAAGCCTTGAGGCTCAATTTTAAGACAATTCAGAAGATGATGGTCGAGGTAAAAGCCCTGAAGACCTCTTCATCTGCCTATACGAAGCAGATGGAGGATCTGGTTGATACCAGTAAGAGGCTTTAGCCTCTGGCGGATGAGGAGGTTGAAGAAGACCCTGAGGTAAATTTGCTTAGGAAGGGCAAAAAGGATGCGGGCTCTTCGAAGGGAGCCACCCCCAGCTTTGAGACAGACGACAATTCCAGCTGGGGTGATCCTCAAGGAGAAGGTTGTCGAACCCTCTGTGGCTGTCCCTGCCCCCCCTGCTGCCCCGGTCGAAGCTCCACTTTCGGTCGCTCCCCTATCTCAAGTGTCGGGGCAGCCGAAGAGGAAGAGGGCCCACCCCACAAAGGAGGTAAATTTTTTGGGCGTGAATATCGAAGAGCCCGATAAAGAAGTACTGGAGACTCTACCTCCTGAGATGGAGGCAGTGGCAGTGGTCCATAACAAGTACTGGATCGAGGAGTGGAAAGACCACACTACCTCGTGCACTGCTGAAGACCTGGCGGCCGCCAACAGTGCATGCATAGCCCGGGCCCTTAGCACAATGTTTAGCTGAAGGGCCTGATCAAAGATCTGAGGGCCAAGAACGTTAACCTGGCCAAGCGCCTCGAGGAGGCGATGATGTATGGGGATGAGGTCCGGGCTGCTCGGGAAAAGGCCTCTGAAGCGGATTCGATGAAACAGAAGGCGGAGGCCTAGCTGATGAGGGCCAATGCCGATGTTGAAAGGCTGAAGAAGGAGCTACACGAAATTGAGTGCCAGGTGGTTGCTTTGACGAGACAAATTGATCACGCTAACGAGCACCACCGCCTGACCACATCAGCTCTGGAGGCCTCCAACAAGGAAAATGCTGAGTTGAAGTAGTAGGTGAAAGCCCAGGCTAAGGAGATTGCTTTCTTGAATGGGGAGCTAAAGTCAGCAGGGGAGGCAGCTGTGCAGAATTTCATTGATCACTTTGAGGAGCATCCCCTGTACGACGACTTTGCCAAGTACTGGTCCTCTTAGAGTGCCTAGGGACTGTTGGGTCGACTGAAGGAGGTCCAACCTACTTTGGACATATCCTCTTTGAAGGCAGAGTTTGGTGGGCCTACTGGAGGCTGACCTGATAGGTTTGTCAAGGAAGCTCCAGAGGCCCCCCAGAGGAAGAGTCGGCGGCCCGGGTGGACGACGCCCCAGTAGAGTAGGGCTATTTTTGTAATGGCTTCGGCCTCCCTTTTGTAACTTGATTTTAAAATGAATATAATGAATTTTTTTTCTTTCAAGTATTAGTGCTTCCTCCTTTTTCTTGTGTTGAACTGTTCATACTTTAGTAAATGAATGATAAGTACTTAAGCAAACAATAAACACCACTTACTAATAACCAGTCGATAAAAGGAGATCAGAGCAATAACATATTGAATAACTGAGGCAACAACTCATTAACTAATTTGACATAAAGAACTGAAGTATCATTACTTAGAGGTTACATCATCCATCACTAAGGCAATTTCAGCACTTAGTAAGATAGGAAAGTAACAAATGAGATCGGATAACAGTTATTAGACAGGATGGAGATCGGATCGAAACATACGTTCATTATTGATAGTACTTTCTCAAGTGTTCGATGTTCCATTGATGAGGCAGTACTCTCCCTGTCATGTTTTCAATTTCAAAAGTACCAGGTCGGGACTCCTTGCAGATGCGATAAGGAACTTCCCAATTTGGTCCAAACACACTGGCCCCAGTTAGATTTGACAATTGGAAGACCCTTCTAAGGACGAGGTCCCCCAACCGGAGAGTTCGATTTCTGACTTTGAAGTTGTAATAGCGGGTCATCTTCCTTTGATACTTGGCCAGTTTCATTTAGGAGATATCCCTCCTTTCTTCAACGAGGTGGAGTTCGCTCATTCGAGTTTCGTCGTTACCGATCTCATTGAAGTGTATCTGACGATGTGATGAGACTCTTACCTCGATAGGGCTCATGGCTTCGGCTCTGTAGGTCATTGAGAAGGGTGTCTCCCCTGTCGCGGTTAGGCTAGTTGTGCGGATGGCTCGGAGGACGTGGGGAAGCTCATCGGCCCACGCCCCCTTCGAGGTGTCAAGCTTTCTTTTTAGGGTATGCTTGATGGTTTTGTTCACTGTCTCAGCTTGCTCATTTGCTTAGGGGTGATGAGACGTCGAAAAATCCTTCTTTATCCCCAGTTCGTTGCATAAGTCTCACATCTTCTTGTTGTCGAACTGTCTCCTGTTGTCAGACACTAAGGAGTGGGGAATGCCAAACCTGCATCCAGATGAATTTTGTAGTATTCACCTCGATGATTTTGGCAAGAGGTTCAGCCTCGACCAACTTGGTGAAGTAGTCAATGGCGACAATGGCAAAAGTCGCGCTTCCTCTTCCTTTTAGGAGTGGACCAATGAAGTCAATGCCTCATTTGACGAATGACCATAGACTGGTGACTATGGAGAGGCTTTGAGAAGGCTGTCTTTGAATATTTGAGAAGCGCTGGCACTTATCACATTTCTGAATGAATTGGCAAGCATCCATTTTCAGGGTTGGCCAGAAGTAGCCTTGTCGAAGCACTTTGCGTGCCAGAGCCATTCCTTCGAAGAGATTTCGGCAGATCCCTTCATGGATCTCACTGAGTATATACGTGGCTTATTCCCCTCCTACACATCGGAGAAGTGGTGAGGCAAAGCCTCTTTTGTAGAGGACATCCTCTTGTCATCAGGAAGAAGTGCGCAGCTCTCCTTCTTAACTTCCTTATCTCACTTCTCAAAGTTGGTAGTGATTGATCTTTGAGATAGGCCATAATGGGTTGCATCCATATTGGGGTACTTTTTATTCATAACAACTCTTCACCTTCGGAGATGGAGGGCTTCGACAAGCGTTCAATGGGGACAATCTTTAGCAGTTCTGAATCTTTGATGCTGACCAATTTTGACAAGGCGTCTGCATGAGTGTTCTCGAGGCATGGGACTTGGATCAATTCGAACCTCTCGAAATGTGGGATTAGGTCCAGGACCAATTTTAAATATGCAGCCATGCTACTATCTTTAGCGGCAAAGTTCCCGTTGACCTGACTCACCACAAGTTAAGAGTCGCTGCTTGCCATGAACCTTCTGATCTGCATTTCTTTCACAAGTCTAAGGCCTGCTAGAAAGGTCTCATATTCGGTAGCGTTGTTTGAGGATTTGAAGGCGCTGGGCTTTCCAAGACGATCCTAGCTCCGGATCCAATTTCTCCTGAGGATCTATCCACGAACAAGTTCTATGTTGGGGGCTCGGCTGGTTCCATTACTGCCTCCATTTCTGGTGCTATGGCAAATTTAGCCACAAAATTTGCAAGGGATTGTCCCTTGATGGCATGTCTGGGTTGGAACAGTAGGTCGAACTCACTGAGCTCAATTGCCCATTTTAGCAAGCGGCCCGAAGCATCCTTTTTCTGCAGCACCTGCTTCAATGGGAAGTTGGTGAGAACCTCGATTGAGTGGGCCTAAAAGTATGGCCTTAGCTTCCTTGACGTCGTGATAAGGGCGAGTGCCAATTTTTCTATGTCCAAGTAGCGGGTTTCTATCGGGAGTAGTGCTTTGTTGACATAGTATACCATCAATTGGTTCTCGTTCTCTTTCTAACTATGACTGGGTTAACCGCCTCGTCTGAGACCGCCAAGTATAGCAATAGTGATTTCTGTGGTTTAGGTTTGGATAATAGAGGCGCCTCTCCTAAGTACTTCTTCAGGGCTTGGAAGGCTTCCTCGCACTGATCGGTCCATTGGAACTTCTTTCCTTACTTCAACACTTTGAAGAAGGGTAGGCTCTTATCAGTGGCTTTGGAGATGAAATGACTAAGCCCATCTATCCGACCATTGAGGCTCTGGACCTCCTTCAGCTTCTGAGGTGACCTCATTTCCTGTAAGGCTCTAATCTTTACAGAATTTTCTTCGATTCCCCTTTGGTTCACAATATACCCCAAAAACTGACCTGAAGTCACGCTGAAGGTGCATTTGAGGGAGTTCAATTTCATTTTGTATTTTCTAAGAATCTGAAAGGTCTGGTCGAGGTAACTTACGTGTTCATTCGCCTGGAGGCTTTTGACTAGCATGTCATCCATGTAGACTTACATGGTTTTTCCAATGAGTTCGGCAAACATCATGTTGACCAAACTCTGATATGTAGCTCCAGCAGTGTTCAATCCGAAGGGCATAACTTTGTAGGAGTACAGTCCTCTGTCTTTGATGAACGACGTGGCCTCCTCATCAGGTCGAAACATGGGTTTATGGTTGTATCCTGAGCACGCATCCGTGAAGCTCAAGAGTTCATGTTCAGCAGTGAAATCCACAAGATGGTCTATCCTTGGCAGTGGGAAGCTATCTTTAGGGCATGCTTTGTTTAAGTTCGTGAAGTCTATGCACACCCTCCATTTCCCGCTAGGCTTCCTCACAAGGACCGAGTTGGATATCCACTTCGGATAAATGGCTTCTCTGATGAAGCCGTTACGGCTAAGCTTATTGACTTCGTCTTTGAGTGCCTCATACCTCTTCGGGTTGAGGGCTTGTCTTTTCTATCGATGTGGGGCACAGAAGGCGTTGATGTTTAGGCGATGTCAATTGATCCTTAGGTCTATTCCTACCATGTCTTCGTGCGTCCAAGCGAAGACATCCATGTTCATTTTCAGGAAGCTTATCATTTGTTCTTTCACTTCGGGGGACAACGTCTTTCCTATTCGCAAGACCTGACTGGGGTCCTCTGGGTTGACGGGTCGTGTTCGGTTCTAAGCCAGTTATTTGGGGGTCTAATTCATCAAGAGGGTGTCCTTCTTCAAGGGCATCTTCCATGTCGACGTCTTCATCCTGTTTGGAGGTATGCCCTATTTCGGGGGTGTCGAGCATTTCCACGTCCAAGCCGGATTCGTTCGCAACCTCCGTTATGATTACATTAACAGTGCGGGACTCTGATTTTCGCAAAGAGTTTAGATAACATGCTCTGGAGCCCATCTGGTCGCCTTGAATCGTAGCAATTCCATGCTCAGTTGAGAACTTTATACACAAGTAATGGATGGAGGTGACAGCCCAAAAATCTTTCAAGGCGGGTCTGCCCAATACTCCGTGGTAGGCTGACCTGTGGTCTACTACCAAAAATTCCATAAAATGTTGGGCCACTAGGGGAGCTGAACCCGTCTCGATGGATAGAGTAATTTGTCCTCGTGAGATGATGTTGTCTCCAGTAAATCCAAATAGTGGGTCGGTCATGGGGATTAGCCCGTGTTCAATTTGCATTTTGTCAAATATAGAGCCAAACAGTATATTCACCGAGCTGCCATTGTCGACAAGCATGCGTTTGAGTCCGTTTCTTGCTACTGTGGCTCTTACTAGCAATGCGTCACAATGGGGGTGGTGAACTCCTTGTGTATCTTCTTGGGAGAAGGTAATCGAGCTCATCCTGTTGGCTTCTTGGGATTGATTAACGATGTACATGAGCATTAACGGATCCTTTGCTTCCCTTGTTTAGTTCCTTTGGGTATTTCTAGTGTTGCCGCCGATGTGAGATCCCCCGATGATCGTGTCAATTTCCCTGATGATTTGGCCTTCAAAAAATGGGGCCTGATCTCTCTGTCTAGACTCTCCTCTGTCCCTCGATCCTCTTCTTCGAGGTGATTGATCTCTATACCTCCTTTCACCCGTGTTCGGGGAGACGAATCTGCGAGGATGTTTGTCCTTCCTAGATGGATGTGGATTATTCCTATCTGAGCATCGCAGAGCGTCTCTGCATTCGCTGGTCTCATGTCCATAGAGTTGGTGGAAGGTGCAGAACATTGCCCCCTTTAAAGGCCTGCTTGACCGCTTCTTCTTCTTCTTTCGACTATTACCAGTACCCTTAGATAGTCCTACCTCAGCAGGGGCATTCTCCAGCACTGCATTTAGTGTGACAGAAGCTAGTGCCTGTCCGGACATGGGAGCTATTGTATGCCCTGCCTGGGTCCATTGCTGGGTGACAAGGTGCGCAACGGGTCCTCGACCTACTTGCCTCTGAGGCGGAGGGAATTTTCGTGTGGCACGATTTTGGTGATCAATCATCTCTTCACTGGCGATTTCAACTCTCATCATTTCCACCAATTCGTCATAAGTGGTAGAATTCTTGCGGCGCACATCTCTCCAGAACAAAGTGTTTATGTTGAGGCCGTCTTTCAAGGCTGAAAGGGCTTTTCTGTCAGTGACCTATTGGTAGTAGGTGATCTCGTCCGTAAACCTGGCGAGGTAGCTTTTTAGCGTTTCTCCAGGGGCTTGTCTCATATCTTGCAGGCGTTGCACTAGGGCCTCTTCTTCTCTACGTGAGAGGTACTGGTTCAAGAAGGCCTTTTTTAGCTCTGGCGAACTCCTAATGCTCAGGAGAGGCAGCTTGTTGTACCACACTTCAACAGCTCTGGCCAGGGTTAGGTGGAAGCTCTGCATTTCAAAGCAGACAAGGTCCCCTGAGACTCATCTGTGTCATGTACTTCGTGAGGTACTTCTCCGGGTCCCCTTTTCCTTCATGCTTGGGGATTTTAGGTGGTACGAAATTTGCAGGCATTGGGGAGCCTTGGATCTCCCTTGAGGAAGGGAGGTTATCATCATCATCAACAATCTCGTAAGATCGACACGGCCCTTCGGAGTCCCCATCATCTTGCATGTTTTGGGAAAGTGGAGGTGCTCTTCCTCGACTACCCCAATCAACTAAGTTTCTTCTCTCCTTCCTATTTCTAGGTGGAATGGGTGTTTGTTCTTGCTCTTCCCCTTGTTGAATTGATCTTTCCACTGAGTGGACCCTATTACTAGGGTTCACCCTATCCGGTCAAAAACACTGACTGACCTTTGTGCTTCACATTCTGGTGGGAAGTTGTCCCGCAATTGAGGTTCTACTGGTTGGCTCCTTTGCACATAGGATGTGACTTCCATACCCACTTCTCTCTCGAGGGGGGTTCTTTGTGCTGGCTCATATGGCCTCAAGAATGAGACGCAGGGACTTCATGAGCTGGGTAAGATTGTTGGAACAATTGGGCGCCCTGATAACCTTGGGCTCACATGAAGAATTCATGCATCGACATATTTTGAGCTGTGATCTCTCTCATGCCTGCAACTATTTGGGTAATTCCTTTAGTGAGCATGGCCATTCTTTCACCTCGACGACGCCGATGATGGGATCTTTGGTGAGTGACATTGTTTCGGAGCATCTCTTCTTTAGAGGCGTCCATCCGGGGGTTTGTGTCCTCATTGCTGGAACTCATCTTATCTACTCCTTTTTCAAGAGTGATAAGAATCTGGGTTGTAATCCGACTTTATTCTTTTTCTAGAACATCCCCTTTTCAGGGTAAGTCAATGGTTTTCCTATGGCTTTTCCGGTGGAGAACGTAGAACTTTGGATGGGAAGTTTCCCACAGACGGCACCAATCTGTTGACCTCGCGAATTGGACCTCCTACGTGGCCAACCGATAGCTGCTCCACGTGATCCTCCCTTCGTGTAATCAACACACGGGCGGAATCAGCTGGGGTGGTGGCGACCGCATACACTCCGACGGTCAAATTAGTATTCGGTGATCGAAGCAGTGTCCGGGTTGTGCAAGTGAGTGAGGAAGAGACTATATATATTTTCTTGTTATGGAGAGCTAAATTGCAAGAGTTTCATTACCTTTATCTCTTGTCAAACCTTGGGTATTTATAGGTGAGGAGAATTGTTGGATGTGGGACACGTGTATGCATTTGATAGCGTGAGGCATCTGCTCATAGACGTCAATTAATCGCATCTATAGAGTGGGCAGGTAATAACTTCTCCCGAGTTGAGTTGACATAAAGTTAATACGTCATATCAACTAGACTCATGGAGACGTCAAATCAATTAGGCATTGGGGATAGAGAGGATCTTGACACAAATTCTCTTTCTGAAAGTGGCAGCGCTGAAGGAGAACCTCGGAGTGCACTGCGCTTCCCGGTTAAGTAGAATTGTTTTGTGCCTCGCAGCACGTTAGCAACACGCGGACATTGATGGTGGAGTCACTTTGGAAACACTTCGAGTTGGTGGTGAACAGGGACGAATCCAGGATTTTTCATAGGAGGGACTGGAAGTACTTGATAAAGTGAATGTAATAAAATTTATACGTACATAAAAACTCGTTAAATAACATTATTTATTTAAGTCGTTCCCGACGAGGATTTGAAACATAATACTCATCTATAATAGAATCTAAATCTATTTTCTCAGCAAGTTCTCTTTCTATAAAAAGTATCATACAATCAGCAAGAAAATCATCCTCCATTTTGTTGCGAACTGTCCTCTTCACATGTTTCATCGCTGAAAATGCTCGCTCAGTACTTGCGGTAGAAACGGGTAATGTCAATACATACAAGACAAATCAATCTAATCATCATAATGTAAATCTCTGACCTTCCACTCTCAGTCAACTATTTGCATAACTCAAAAAGTGTAGATATTTGAAATCGAGACTCACCCTTCATATCTAACTCATAATGTGGCAACTCATATTCCAATGTAATAATATCTTGCTTCAAAAAATCTTGAGGGTAAAATTTCTATGCAAGTGTGCAAATTTTTCGACTGTCAAACGATCTAAATGAATCTTTAGGATCCAAAGCTGCACAGAGAGAAAAGGAGTTCTACTGATATGTCATTAAATCTTGTATTTAACTCCATCATTACAAAATCTATTGCTTCATTAAAAACATCATAGTGATAATAATGCTCAATTGTAGTTTCATCACTAGAACAGCCAATGTTATAGAAACCTTCTAGATCGGGTATTGTAATATTATTCTTTGAGCAAAAGGATTTTACTTCTTGAAGAAATTCTTCCCAATCATCATCTCTCAATTTTTGAAGCAATTATTTAATGGTAGACACAAACCTTAATGCAGTCAAGATGTCTTGGGATCTTCTTTGAAGGGCTTGACAAAGAACATCACTGATTCTCATTATTCTATACATCAAATGCAAGATAAATATGAACTTAAAACTCACCAACTTTTTGCAAGCACCATTAGATTTAGCTTGAGATCTACCGTTTGAACAATGATCACAAATATATTGAAGCACTTTGCGGGTTGCACCTTACGTATCTATCAAGCTCTTTATAGAGTTGTAATGTGAGCTCCAACGAGTAGCTCCCGATCGTTGCAGATTAACCATTTGATTAGCCTCCACTTCCAGATTCACACTCCCGGGTATCCAACATATGTTGAATTTCCTCTCTATGAGAAAATTGCAACTCAGTAACTCATTTAGGAAAAGAAGTAATAACATTGACAATCTTATCCAAATGAGAAAAGAAGTTCCAAATGACATTGTCTTCTTTAGCTGCCACGACCAATGTTAGCTGTAATCGATGAGCAAAACAATGGACATAGTATGCACATGGACAATCTTTAAGAAATAATGCTTGAAGTCCATTCCAAGCACTTTGCATGTTACTAGCGCCATCATACCCTTGTCCTCTCATTTTGTTTACCCGAAGTTCATATTGAGTAAGAACATCACATAATTCATTTTTGAGATTCGATGAAGTAGTGTCACTGACTCTTTTGATTGCAACGTTTTATCAAACTACCATGACTATTCACAAACCTCAAGATAATGGTCATCTGCTCTTGATTAGATGCATCTTGTGCCTCATCAACAAGAATGCAAAAGCATTCATCCTCAACTTCCTATCGAATCATATGTCGTACTCTATTGGCCATAATATGCAAAATTTCTTTTTGAAAGGTTGGAGCAATGTATTGGGCATTTTGTGGTGCATTTTCCAAAACAACTTTACTAACATCTAGATTCAAATTTGCTGCGTACTTTATTCATTGTATAAAATTCCCACGATTACGTGAAGATGGAGATTCATCATTACCTCTAAACCCTAAACCTTGAAATGCTCACCATCGAACACTTTTAATTGAAGTCATTATACGCAAACGACGTTTTCGAATTTCCTCTTTCGATACAATATTCATTAACTTATCAATATGCTAAGACTGTTTGATTAAATCTTTAGCTCTAGTCTCACACAGTTTATGATATGCTGAATTAGCATGAACAAGAAATGCACATTTATTTCCATCTTTCACCCTCTTCCATTTATTATATATCCTTCAGTAACCAATCCCGAACAGGCAGAAGAATTACCCTTTTTCTGAAAAAGAAAACAGTAAAAGCAATATGCCTTTTCAATTGTAGAAGAATACTCCAATCATGGAAATTCTGTGAACCATTTTTTCTGAAAGCGACTAGCTTGTTTTTTTCCTTCTATCATTGGATACTCCTCAAGCTTCAACTGATAAGGTCCAACTTTTATATATGCAATTCTAATCTCATCTTATAGATTGGTAGGATGTTCAAACATTTGTTTTCTTTTTCCCGGATCCCGTTCAATACTAGTATATGATTGCAATTCCGGAGTTGAGACTGACGGATGTTC